ACCGTGTTGCTAAGTCAAAAGTTGTTTACATAATATAATGTCGAATAATATTCATTCTCCCGATAAAACCACCAATCGTAGTAAGAGAAGTTATTTTTCAAGCGAATATTTGTTAAATTTCAATATTAACTGAAAGTGGCAATTAATAATTAATTCATTTTGTATGGGTTATTCGTAAATCTAATTAAATATTTTTTTAATAATGTTCAATCATAAAATGTCCATTAATAATTTCTGAATCTAAATTGAAGTTTATACTTTATTATTAAATTTATATATTTATACTAAATTGGAGTCCACCACTGCGTCCAGTACAGATTTTTCGTAGGGTATTATTCTTAACTGCGATTTTTTGCTTTTCAAGTTCTTTTAACTCGGTAACGTACAGGATTGAAGGAAATTCACACAAATTAAAATGAAAATAAAACAAAAATTCCATTTTAATGGCCCCGAGTGTTGAGCTCAGGGCCCTGACGTTCCCTCGATATCTTCCGTCAAACAAGATTTCAAGTAGAATTTCGCTCAAGCCGTATTGCGACCTACATATGATGACCATCGGTGTGCTGGAGCAGGCAGCGCCCGTAAATGCAACTAGTACGTTGAGAAACTGGTACCTCAAGAAGTTTTGAAGCTGTGTTTTTTGCAACCATCGACTAAGTATTTAAACTTTTTGCATTGTTTACTTGGATAGAGGAAAACCGACACCCAGGTTATTGAAGTTTGGAGTATTTAGTCCGGAGTTGCATTCCAACACGTCATTCCAACTCCGGCCACAATCATGCACGGTATCGAAATAGAACAGATAGGAAATTAAACATGTAGTAAAATATACGTCATTTGCTAAGGTTAGGTTCAAGCCAGGAACAAGTTCCTATAGCGGCAACCGCATAGGGTGGCTAGGTTAGGTTTGATTAGGGTAAGGCAAAGTTAGTTCAGTTTAGGTTAGGATAGGTTAAGTTAGGTTAGGCTGTGTTGGGTTAGGTAAGGTTAGGTAAGGTAAGGTTAGGTAAGGTAAGGTAAGGTTAGGTAAGGTAAGGTTAGGTAAGGTAAGGTTAGGTAAGGTAAGGTTAGATGAAGTAAGGTTAGTAGATGTAAGATTAGGTTAGGACAGGTTAGGTTAGGATATGTCAGGTTGTGTTCAGTTCGGTTAGGTTAGGTTAGGGTTTTTTTGGCTAGGCAAAACTAATGTAGGGCTGTTTTAAACACTTATGATACACACAGGAAAAGGCCACAATTGGGGGATTGCTGTGTGTAGTAGGAAATGTGTGGCAAGAAGAAGAAGAGAGAAAAAGAAAAAAGTATAGCGGCTGATCTGGTTGCCAAGTCCATTTACCGATCAGGTATGAAAGTTGTCTTACAGCGAGTTGAACGGAACACAAGTATTCAAGAATCTTAACGCTTACATCTTCATAATAAACAAATCAACCGCTTGAATTTCTCATAGCCATTATTTTTTTCCAAGAATTTTTAACAAGCACCCAAATATCGTAAGTCTTATCGTGATTCAATTTTATTTATTGAAGTATAACAATATGTGTGTTTCCATAACCCGAGTGAATCGCTCCATTTAAATTTTTTCAGCAGCTTACCATAGTTTATTTATGCCATAAAATTAGAAATATTTTTCAATGAATGAAATAGTTTCTGGAAAACTAGGTATCTAAAACAACATACTTCCAGTAAGGCAAATGAAATACACATCAGTTTGATGTTTTGATAGCCTATTTTCTACGATATTAAAACAGTTTTCTGTTACAATTGTTATCATATCATCAGAAAAATTTAGTCAGAGATAAACATACCTTATAATAAAACGAATAGTTAAATTAATCAAACTAAGTTTAGAGGTTTCCTAAGAATTATGCCTCAATTGAATTGAATGCTACTGATTTTTGGACTTTCAAACCTAGCAACAGAACCTCCCAGTTTTTTACTGCATCCGTTTTGCTTGCATAGCAGTTCTGGCGGCGGCTATCTGCTCACTCACAAAATTCAAATAATGGCACACTTTCTTGCCCACGGAATGTCGCTGTTCATCAGGATGACCCCACACAAAGAAAAAAAGTGGGACGCTGCTTGGGCAATGTCAAACTTATTTCTCTGAGCGCTCTTGGTGATTGTTGTTGCGATGATAGTTATAATGATGATAGTTATAGTAACTAAATGTTATTTCCTCAGAGCAAAGCTCTTCGTAGCCGAAAAGACACACCCAAAGGTTGAAATTTCCCGTCCAATTAAGTTTTTTGGACACTGCAGGGCAGGGAGCTTCTGAAACGTTCGCGGTAAATACGTTATTCAGGCATTTAGTAAGTCATTTAGTGCAGTTATTGCAATTAGTGGAAAAAAAGTTGATGTCGGTCCTTAAAGAGACCATGGCAAAATTCAGGCGGAACGTGGACAATACTATAGGAAATTCAGCGTCAAATATTAGTCTACGGATGCATTAATCATCTTCAATGTTATTCGTACCTGAAGGCCTAGTAACGTGAGTTAGTCAGCATGCGCAGACAAAGACAAACAAAAGCTTTTCATTCGCCTTCACGGTCGTTAAGAAAACGTTTTCGTATCTATATTTCGTGTATATAACCGACATTTTTGTGCATATAGGATGTAAATTGAAAGTCCTTAAGTACCTTAGATAAGTCAGGAAATGGCGAGCTGCATGACTTGCTTTTAGGTCCCCGGAACATGTGCTTGAGTATCAGTGATGCGTGGCCACGTTTGTTTTGGTGGTTGGGTTAACGCTTTGTGCTACAAAGCATGTCTTAGACGTTCATTGTTGGCTTTATGTGAGTGATATGAGTTGGCATTGGAACTAGAGTTATTGAAAGTCAATCAGGAAACACCTGTATATAACTCGCTTCATGTCAATTAAATTGTGCAATAATAAAATAAATATCGTAGCATCGTGAGAAATAATATTGTAAGTATCGAGGTTTAATTCATGGAGATCATCACGAAGACATTGCCATATAAAATTGACGTACAAATCAGGCTTCTATGATTTATTGTTATGTTTTCGACGGCTGGTATCCAGACAATCGTCCTATCGATAAACTAAACCAGAAATTAACGTGACTAAACTAAGCTTAGTTAAGCAACTATGCCATTAGAGAAGCGTACAAATAAATGCAAATATCACAATTACATGAAGGGTTACAAAAGTTTGTGGCCAAAAAGAAGTTTCGATCTCTATGAAGTAAAATGAATTTAAATCACGAAAATATTGCGTGAGCTGATAAACTCTGGGAAGTTTTGAGCGAATGCAGTCTAGGAAATTGTGTGCTTCTTACATTTGAGGAGTTTTGGGAGAATCCAGTCTTGTATAAGGCATGTGCTGCTGAACTTTTAGAAGTTTTGAGCGAAATCAGCCTCGTGAAGTATTTAACTTTAAGGAGTTTTAAGTGAATTCCGTCCCGCAAAGTGTGTGCTTTTCAACTTTACGGGGCTTTGCGCGTCCAGTCTCCGCAGTATGGCTGACAGCGAAATGCAACAAGTTAAGCCAGCGCTGTTGACGCAGTACCTAACTGCTCTATCAGGTAATAAATTAAAAATTCGGTTGCTTGATGATATTTATATTCCAGATGGAATTGTGCTTCTGAATACAAAATGAAATATTAATAAATATTTCAATAACCACTACTTACTATTAAATTATGCATATTTCAATTCGTTTATTTCAAATCAATTATTAAAAACAGTTTTCCTGCTTTTGATCAAAACATTGGTGTTAAATGCTCACAAAAATGATTGTATAAATATGTATATATATAGATAAGTAGTGGTATTTTGCGACAGGTTTCTTAACATTCCCCGAAAACCGTGTCGCAGAATTGTTCGATCAAATTGTTAGTCATACTTTCGGGAATAGTGCGACATCATTGGCATATTGTGCGACAAAATGTCGCAGTATTACTGTCTCGGAATGTACCCATGTCGCAGAATCTACCTATGATTAGTATTTGCTAATAGTGTGACACGAAAAAAGATGAACGCCATTCTGCGAAATGCTAATTAACGGAAACCTCGTTAGGTTAGGGTTAGAGGTGTGAAAAATAGTTTTTTTAGACATTTTTTCAGAGTTTTTCTAAGAATAGGTCAAGCCAGGGATGGTTCTTTTACCTCAAATAACTAATTGAAAAACGTCAACTAAGAATTATCGCAGTATTACCAATATCAAATTATTTTTATATTATATATTGAATATTGTATTTCAAATTCTATACTTAATATATATAAATATTCAACTAATCATGCGCTAAAACGTCGGAAGGAAAATTCTAAATGCTCATTCAAACCCTCCCACGTATGCTGAATTATCGTCTCCAAAAGTCGTGACGTAAGCATTAGTTGTGAGAATCTGCATTTCGTCGGGGAATAATTACGAATAAATTTCATCTATAATACTACTAAATGCATAACTAAATTTTGAAGACGCTTCTTTTGTAGCGAAAAACTTGGCTTCCATGAAAATTTGTTGGCTGTGTCGCAAGTCTCTCTTAGATGGCCGGCATTGAACCGAGTGTGTTGACTTGTTTCAGTTTGAATTGACTTACCTTGCCCTAATAATATAAATTATGTAAATACCCAACATATATCGGGTGGCGCCTATAGGTTGATGCTTAGGAATCTCTACACTCAGCTAGAGTTTTTCTGGGTCTGCTTTGCCACCCGATTGAAATCAGCTTCCGGTTAGAATGTCATTTCCGATTTTATAGTAGCCCGAGAGTATGAGGAGAGTTGGCAGAGCAGAGTCATACCGAGCTTTTTAGTTGCTTAAATGTTGTTGTTGTGATTCTATCCCAGGCATTAGATACTGTACAACTGATTTACGTGCTATCCGAGTCTTCGGCGGCACCTATTGCAGAGTCTGGTCCGCATCCAAATTTAGTTAGGGTGTAGGGTCGATTTATTTAACTAAGTCGGCACTATAGAGTAGTTAAATAAATCGTAAAGGGACTGATCACGATCGGTAACGCATATTATCTGTACGCTCACAGTGTCGGTGAGTGCGATTGCGGTTGGCGCGGTGTCTGGTTTCAACGCTCCTGCTTCTTTCCAGCTACGAGCTGCCCAAGAATTCGCTAAGTTTACTGACAATCAAACAACGTCTAGTCTTCAAAACACGACAAGTCGTACCGCAGACAGCAGCGGTACATCCGGCAGTGGTATCCATGGTCACATCAGCACTTATCATTACTTTACAATGTGTAATGCAACTGATAGCAACGAAACAACAATCACTCCTGATGTTAACATAATTACGCAAAAGTTAGCATGGTCCCTCATGGTGGACAGCCAGCCAACATCAGCGCGGTCCACCATAGTGATGGACAACCAGCAAGCGCTTGCACGGGCTGTCGTGGTGATGGACAGCGAGGAGCTGTCGTGGTTCTTATCAGCATACGCCGTGGGGGCGCTGGTGGGGGCGCTGGGGGGCGGCGCCCTCATGGACGCCGCAGGACGGAGGGGGGCGCTGCTGGCTTCCGCAGTGCCGTCCCTGGTGGGCTGGCTCATGACAGGTCACTATAAATTTAGCTTAAAATATTATTGGATACTATTGTTAATCTTCAAATCTGAGAGAAATCCACGTAGTTAAATGAAACTGATTTATAATTTCAATAACTAAACTCAAAGACTAACCACTCTTTACTCCTTCAGCGTTTTGGATCCAACTTGTGAATTTCGCTGCTGATATTGTCTTCGTTGCCAGGTCTAGGGACCAACGTATCCATGCTGGCGCTGGGCAGGGGAATAACAGGATCGTTTATCGGCTTGAGCTCAGCGGCTGGCTGCGCCTACATTGGTGAAATTGCATCCAAAGACATCAGAGGAAGGCTCGGTTGGTGAAACTTGGTTAAATTAAGTGCTTTTTGTATATTTTTGCAGTGTAGCAAATATAGCCTATAAAGCTTTGATAAGGGTTCAGAGACGTCGGTTGCAGCATATAATTCATTATTTGGGGTTTTCTGTTAAATCTTAATGAATTTTAACTGCTATTATTTTATTTGACTGCAATTTAGGATTTTTTGAAGTTGACAACATAGGATGAAGTTTGTTCATGTTTTCATGGTCAATGTAGAATGGACGTTGTAAATATACGCAAATAAACTGATGCGAATGCAATATGTTTTTCGAATTGGGAAACTTGAGTAAAGCAACGAATTTTTTCTGACAACACCATCTGGCAACAAACTTAAACAGTATGTTAGAAACTTATACTTTACTCTTTGATTGCACTTGAAAAATCAATTTAGAGCGTTCATTTGTAATTTTATTGCATGATATGGCATAAAATACGAGTGTATTTAAAGCATTCAAGATATATGAATCTTTTTCTGCCAGAGTGCAACTACTCAAAATCTACTCAAGAGTGACGAGTAACTACTCAAGAGTGACGCGCTATCTTACCCACAGCACGAGCTAAGGGCGGACGTATAATAGTGATAAATCCATTAGCCAGGCGTAACTGGCTAGGGATGACCAGAACAAGGGCAAAAAGTGTATAACTGCTTTGACAAAGTTTCATTTATATTTAATGGGAGCAGAAAACAAAATAAAGCGAAACATATTTTTAGGACTATATTAGTAATGCTTGCGGCCCTGCATACTTTCGCGACATCGAACGTAATTTTTATTTTTTTGCTGAGTCTCCAACCCGTAGCTCGTGCTCCAATCTTGCTGTTCAGTCACCCGTCGTCATAGTCTCTTTCGACCCAAATTTTCACAGCTTAGCAGAGGTTCAACCCCACAACTCACTGATACAATCCTAAATTTTTTTGCCTTCTGACCACTCCGCCGATATATCGACAAGAATTTTTTATTTATCCAGTATTGCTGAGGCTCGAACCTTCCACTCTTTGCTCGAAGCCACAACTCTCTCGAACTCGAAACTCGCTACTGCAATCTTACGTTGATGACCACCCTTACTGTTCGATATTGACCAAAAATTTTCAGCTTTGTTGAGACTTGGACGCACAACTCGCTGCTCCCGTCTTTGCTCTCTCAACCGCCCGACCAACCTGATCTTGTTCGTTGCTCAGGAAGTTTCTACGAGCTCGCATGGGCCATTGGCGTCTTGCTGGGCATGTTGGCGGGGGAGTTCACGACGTGGCAGCATTTGGCCCTGATCTGCTCCAGCCCGACTCTGCTGTACGCCGTCCTCGTCTACTGCTGCAAGGAGTCGCCGGCTTACCTTCTCTTGAAAGGCAGAGAGACTGAAGCAAGGGCGGCTCTTCAGCATTTCAGAGGTCCTCATATGAACTTTTTATTCTTATGTCAAGTTCATATTTAAAAAACATTATACTACAGAGCATGATAGACAAAATTTACTTTTTCTGTGAGGATGAGTTATTGAACAAAATCTGCACCCACTTCTTTCATTTAATGACAAAACTTTAAAATCATGTTTGTTTGTTCAAAGACAAAAACAAACCTGTCTCATATCCCGCACCCGTGAGCCGGTTGATCGTACCTTGTAGTAATAGAGACGAGGTAACAAACCGAAACCTGAGCAATGACAATCACGAATTACGAACAAGAACATTCATGCAATGAATTACAATTTGACTATTTAAGGGGAGCGTCTACCCTAGAAATCGAAATTGTCAGCTTATCCGGTTTTTATGCTCATCTTAAAGCTTACATTCTGCCGCATCGAACGGTACTAGAACTATCTCTGTACGTTGATTTATGTGTTCACGACAGATCCCGAAAGAGTGGAGAGGGGTCGGGCCCCTTCACAAAAACCTTTGGCAATTAATTCAAGCCGGGCACTATAAATGTGCTCTCAGTCGACCTGCAGCTCAGATACCTCCCAACTATCATACGGGAAAGTGTTCATGCAGTCGTTCTAGGCACCGCTGAGTGACTTAGAAGCATACTTTCGGTATCAAAAAAACCTCCAACCGCTCTCACGGCAAACTTATCTGCTCCTAGAGTTTTAAAGCTACAACAATGTGTCACATACCACTCGATTCGCAAGGAAAAGATCTGCAAAATAATTTGTGTGTTTTTCTAATTTTGTTAGAGTTTGGATTTTATTCTGCTAAAAGAGAGGTGGCGGAGAGTAAAATCGAAAAATTGCCGAAAAATTTACGAAAAGTGCCCTCACACCCACAAAAATTAAATTTGAAAAAAAAAACAATATTTTATAGATATGGTCTTCACGTCTCGAATGATGTGTGTCTCGATGCAGTAGCTTGAAAATCCTAGGAGATAATGGGAGCTTCTACAAGTGGGTATTGTAGGAGATTCTACAGTGCCCACTTTTTTGTCGTTTTTTAAGAATTTCACGTTTTCTTTCACTTTTTCCGTAAAATTCACACGAACAAAAAGGGTCAGATTTCGGTTTTACATGCGTGTTCCTAGTTTCAAAATGATCCGTCTGTAAATAACCGAGATAGACTTTGAGGTAGACGTTCCCCTTAAAAATGATTTTCTGGCAGCGGATCAGTTCGTTTAGGATCTGAGCAACTGTCAGACAATGATAGCTCACTCTCAACATCCATTGCTACCATTTAGTGGATTTTGCCATCAAATCAAGTGCTAAAATATCCAGAAGAATCTGACCAGTAGAGTTAACTGAATGCTACACAATTATAGGGATATCTCTTCAATTAAAATATGATTCCTGAAACGCACATTTACAAACTCTGTTTGTGTTATTCGGCAGAAAACAGAAAAATTCAAATCAGATAATTATTTCTTACAAACTAAAAGAAATTTAATGAAATTTCACTGACTTAGGTGCTGATTACTGCATCGATCAAGAAATTAGGGCCGTAAAAGAGTCCCAAATGGAAGCCAAAAAGTCCAAATTAAAGCTGGCTGACCTTAAAAAGGCCCACATTTACAAACCCATTATCATCACCTTCACCATCGGCGTCTTCTCCACAGTCTGCGGCCTCGGAGTCCTAACTGCAAATCTCAGCACTATTTTCAAGGTTATTATTTTTATGAAATATTGCAAATGTTCCTAAACTTAGATTTAAAATAGACTGCGAAACTTCAAAGCCATAAGAATGTGGTTTCTCCTTCACTGAACATAATAAAGTGTATTAAGTCGCACAAGAATGGTACCCTATCGAAATTCTGAGGGTGGTCAGCTTCTTAGATCAAGACGACTTTAGCTTACCCAGCGTGTACATTAGCGGCTCTATGTCCGCTTCACGCTCTGGTTGTACGAGCGAAATAAACGTCCGATTAGAATTCGGTCATAGACCGAGTGAGCTTGGGGCGTTCTTGGGGTGCGCGCATTTGGCACCTGATAGCTCAGGGATAGACACGGCCGGATCTGAAAAGTAGGTTGAAAAATGCCCCCTCCCAACTTTCCGCATTACTCACAACCAAACATTCTTCAACTTTCGCGTGGACTCAACAATCAACATTATCTGATATTCATCACCGCTCACTATCCTTCCCCATTATCCAAATCCGAAACATTCTATCCATTCAACCGTTCCAAACACTCATACCAATTGCTTGTACCGAACACTTTCCAGATACGGCAGTGCGAAACATTCTCTCAACTTAATCAGTATTAAAACTTCACCCATATTCATCAAAACATTCACATATACTGTTAAGCATTCACCGGCAATAATCATTTAAATCAGTCATCAAAATTCTCCGAAAATATTCTCAAACAACAGCCTATAGTGCATCTACAGGGCTCCACTTCAGCCATTTCAACATTGCGCAGATTCAATGAAGTAGCTAATAATTTCATACCTCAGTTTCTAGGTATGAAATGAAAAAAAATTAATGAATTGTTCGCAGTAATTTAATTGTTCGCAGTAAGGCGAGGCCCCGCGCGCATTCCTACTTCCTCTTGCATGCACGTGTACCTAACATCCAGTGTAATTTACTATGGATTAAAAAATAAAATTCTGCACACAGAGGCTGCAAAGAAGAATAGAACTATTACTACCGTCGAAATTGCAGCTAGCTGAAATTTGTTGCCTTTCCAACATTGCCATGTTCTATGGAAATTTCAGTAATTCATCCTCTAATACTTTGTAATTCTTCGAAAATAACACAATTCATAAAGACAATGCGATTTCACTCTGGCAAAAAATTTGATGATGCGATAGAAAGAATCACATAATTGATACCTAATCACAGAAAAAGAGTAGCTTAGTTACTTTCAACGCTCTGCATCCTTCATACACTTTTTGCTTGCAGGTGGTGCTAATCATGCTGTCGACTGTCTGTAATTCTTAACTTTCGGTTCCAGAATACGATTAAGCTATTATGGTGAAATAGAAATTAGAACTTAAGGCATATAAACACGAGATGCTCAAATAACACGTTCATGGACTCATATACCCCAAGTGCAAAATTTCTATGACAGAAGAAATCTTCGCTGGACTATATTCGTAATGCCGCCATACCGGTGCTAGGTTTTCCAACGAACGTTGCTCCAAAAATCTCTGGGCAGTAAAACTAGGAAGAACCTCGCGACAGAAAAAGTTGTGCTCTCAAAAATGTTCAGAATTAAAATGTTTATCCTTTTAAACAAATTATTTTCAAGTCGCATATTTCACTTTTCACAGTGCAATTACACACGTGAAATGAGAAATGTGCGTCATTCAACATGAGAAGAAGACTAGCAGAACTAGGCAACTGCGCCAGCAGCACGCGCCCTGCACTACCCAGTTAAAATTTAGGGCAGGGAATAGAGCAGGCCGTCGCCGGCTGCAGAGCCGACGTAGAGACGCGACAGAGCAGCGATAGAGCAGAAATGTCCGCATTAGAGACGATATCGTCAGCCACGTAGCAAAGCTAATTCACCTCTGAGTACCTGCCCAGGTGTGCTCGGTCCTGCAGTCACGCAGCCCTTACTGAGCACCGCCTGCTCAAACCTGCCCAACGCCTGCTCTGGGGCGGCTCTGGCAGTGTACGCGGCAGTTACGCGTCACCGTTTTTCAACAACGATTAAAAAAAATTTGTTCCTTCTCGCTCTGAGATCACCTAGACTTCTCTCTTGCAACGACAGGTTGTATTGACATTGGTTACTGACATTCTCATCGTATTGACTTTAGCAACGTTATTTAGAATCTAACAAATTCAATTATCGAGGAAATATACACATCAAATTACTCACCGCTATGAACTATCTGCAAACGACGACTGAAGCTCCGGGATTCGAACTCAGATTCTCCGCGTCGTATGTCCACGCCTTTACCAGTTGGCCACGCGAACACCTTACCAGCCTAGGCTCTATGAACTACTTAACTGTAATACGGAACGAGTGACTCGCCATCATCTAGCAAATCGAGGAATAGCTATATTTGTGGTTGAACTTGATAGATATTATTCATAATGCACTAATTAAAAAAAAAATGAACAAAGTAGACATTCGTATGATCCCGTCAGTTAGATGTAAGTGAGTATTAGAGCTAAATTTGTTTAGTAATTTATCTTATTGCATTAGCTTCATGTCATTCGATAGTTTGATAGGAAAATTAACAACGTACGCAAATCATTAGTCTACTGAAATCGCAAATTCTCCGAGATTTTTAATGCAAATAAAGTGCCAAATAAATTCACCATATCTTCAATGAAAACGTTTCGGAGACCAGAACCGAAATTCAGGGAAAGTCGATAAATTTTATGAACCGATGATGGTGCTGGTTTATATATTTTCATTGAAAATATGGTGAATTTCCTGGGTATTTTCTTTGTTCTAACATTTACTGTTATTAACGCGTTTTCTGTATATCCATGTTAGAAAACTTTCTCATGATAAACTGATTGATATCTCGCTTTAGCAAAGCGTGAATGACCTTTAACGTTTCTGTTAGAGTGTTAAAACTGGAAGAGCATATAAAATTCTTACGTAATTCGAAGTATTAAAATACTGACGTGAAATAAATATCACAAATGGCACCGGAAATTGGCCCACAATATCGTGCTATGCGAATGAACTAGATGGAGGATGAAGTTCATTCTCCCGCAACGGTTTCCAACCCCTACCCCTCCTCCCTCTCTCAAAACCCCCCCATGCACGGCCTGCTTCTCTGCTCTGTACAGCTCCCTGCCGGGCAATCCCTAGTACCAGCGCTAAAACAGCGCAGAGTTCCGTCCCTGCCGAGCTCCTAGAATTTTGTCTCTATATCAGCCATGGCGCAGCGCAGTTTTAGGGATAGATGGCCGGTTATAGTTTCACGGCTCCATCCTGCTAAAGCGCGACCAGCCCGGCTAAACCCGGCGCCGGTCTCGGCTCAAAACTGTAACTGGGTAAGGGCTGCGTATGTAATCTACCATTATAGTACAAGTAACAATGTCAGACATGTAGTAGGAACAAATTTTCAGAGTACCATACACATACCTCGTGAGAAATAGAGTTGAAGAAACTCCCTGCCTGCAGGATTCGAACTCCGGTCTCCCCCACGCGAAGCTAAGCCTTTACCGTTGAGCTATAGGAGAGGACTAGGCACTAAAGTAATTTTAAAATATTTGACTGAAGTATTGCAAGTATTAATTTCATCAAATGGCAGAAGTTAGTGCTACCATCGTGATGATTAGATCGTTTCATCAACAATTTTATTGTTTTTATAATTTTTATAATATTGACAGCGGTTTGATTCGAAATATTTTCACCAAGAATATTCTTGCGTGAAATAAGGAATTGATATCACTCGATGATTTTAAATGTCAGGTGTGAATTACCTGCACCACTTCGAGTCACTATTTTCTCTAGCCTAATCTTTAATCTTTTGCGTCCAAAAGATACCGGAACCACTCAAGTAGAAATTTAGACTTAAAATTGAAATAATTATCTGCCTGTATGAGCAAATTTCCCTAAATAATTAAATTCCACGATCGAAGTAAGCGATAGAAAGCAGAATTTGTATTCGTATCCCTCTGCGTATAAATGATACCTTTTTGACAAGCAAATTACCCGGAAAGCACACATTTCAAGCAAGACATGGTAAAGATTAGTAGGAAGCTTGACGCCGACTCCCGTAAACCCAACTCGTGTGAACGTGTGCTTATACTCGACTTGCTCGTTGCACTTGAGAGCCGCAGAGCCGCTGCGCTTTAGAGATGCCTTGCCTCTACAGACTACGTCGACGTGGCTTTAGAGTTTAAATTAATGGGGTAATTTAAGGATATTGCCAATATTATATGACACACTTAATCGATCCTAGAATTTATACTTTATGATACAATAATTAGTCTGAATTGATCGCAATATTTCCAACACAGCCAGTTGGCGCATACGTAAAACTCGAAATAAATAACTCAATATCATGTGAACATAAAAAATTGGATTCGCCGTCATCTTTTGAGAAACTGTAATTTTGCGACGAAAATTTTTCATTGTTCCTCGTACAATTTATATCAGGAGCAGTCTGATACATGCCTAGTGGCTTTACTTTGGTTTGAAAATTTGTGAACACCTTATTTCTGTCAGTTTTACTCGTGCCTACCGAATTCACGCTAAATTTTTGCTAAATTTTCTTTCCAGAACTTAATCTTAGAAGCCAAGCACACAGAACGAAGTCATGGTTTCGTCTTGATCTCGAATGACCCACAACCCAATAACACCTTTCTTTCTACGTTGGATAAATTACAGTGGCCAATACGGGGCAATACCATCGTGCACTGTGCAGCTTGGGCAAACGGTTATCGGTGATTCACAAGAGATTTGTCTGCAATGTGCCATAGATGTTTCAGACCTTATAAATCATCCATGATTCATCGATGACTCCCACCTGTACTCGCCACCTTTTCGATTTATAGGTGTTTTATTGTCGATTTTAGGCAGATCTGGACACCCACCGTTACGCCACCAATAATCTATTATCGCCACCTATAATCATCGGTGCGCCACCCTTAATTTTTATTTGGGTCAAATCATTAGTCTGCTGATATAGCAAGTTCTCTAAGAGTTTCAATGCAAAGAAAGCGCCAAATAAATTCACCATATCTTCTATGAAAACGTTTCGGAGACCAGCACCGAAACGCAGGGAAATTCGATCAATTTCATAAACTGATGATGGTGCTGGTTTACACATTTTCATTGAAAAAAAGGTTAATTTCCTTGGTATTTTCTTTGCTCTAACATTTACTGTTATTAACGCGTTTTCTGTAAATCCAAGTAAGAAAACTTTCTCATGATAAACTGATTGATATCTCGCTTTGGCAACGCGTGAATGACCGTAAACGTTTCTGTTTGCGTGTTAAAACTGGAAGAGCATATAAAATTCTTATGTAAATCAAAGTATTCTAATACTGACGTGAAATAAATATCATAACTGGCACCAGAAATTGACCCAAAATAACGTATTATGCGAATGAACTATATGAGGGATGAAGTTCATTCTCCCGCCACTAGCTGTTTCCAACCCCTACCCCTCCTCCCTCTCTCAAAACCCCCCCATGCACGGCCTGCTTAGCTGCTCTGTTCAGCTCGCTGCCGGGCAATCCAAGTACCAGCGCTGCAACAGCGCAGAGTTCCGGCCCTGCCGAGCTGTTAGAATTTTTCTCTAAATTAGCCATGGCGCAGCGCCGTTTTAGGGATAGATGGCCGGTTATAGTTTCATGGCTCCATCCTGCTAAAGCGCGACCAGCCCGGCTAAACCCGGCGCCGGTCTCGGTTCAAAATTTTAACTGGGTACTCCTTGCATAGCCCCAAACCGGGATAGGGGTAATCCCCACCTAATGGGGCGGAAGAATGGGTTGGGGATAAATAACATTTTACATGTCTAACAACAAATATTGGGCACAGCGAACATAATTGAGTAACTTTATGAAATAAAAACTGCAATGCATGGACTAAGTTTTGTCATCGATGTCGTTTGAACCACCGCATATAGTTTGTATTAATTTGCTCAAAAAGTAGCAAGGTGCCATGATACTTACATCGCGATGGGTGACACCCAGCATGCACGAACGAACGCCAAATCACTGAATGAATTATGTGAACCGCACCACAAGATAATACAATTGCCAACATCACCTGGAAATATTGAAATTTTGTAGACCTTGTTTGAATAACAGAAGGTACGTTGTTCAACTCTTCAAACTCCAACAGGCAATGCATGCACTGTCATCACAATACTAAGCAGTTTCATCCCGCTTTAAATTTGTTACCTGTAAAATAGGAAATATATTGTACAGAATTTTTACAACGATCACATGATCAACCAAATCAATTTTTAAGCCGTGGAAAATCTGATTCGATGACGCTTGGACGTCGCCCTCCGTCCATGTTAGCTCGGCCCTTGTCATGTCAAGGACATGACAAGGACATCGGAGACAGGCCTCCGGCCTAATAAACTCTGAACCCGCTATTATTATTATTATTATGTCACAAGAGACTCTCGAAAAAGACGCTAGTTAGCGGCTGAAAACAGTAGGTTACCAATTCGCAATAAATTCGCTTTTAACTGGACTTTAACGAATATCTTAATTTCGTACAAGTACAAGAATTGTGATTGAAGGGAGCTCTATACGACCTTCTTTCTACGAGCGTCGTTCACCTCACCGTAACCAGTAGCAGTTAAAGCTTCTGGATGCATTTGCGTTTCTCATGAGATGAATCCATATTCATTTTCACTGTAATATAAAAGGGGCAAAATGGTAATGCATACCACTGAACAACGATCTATGCAACTCCACGTTCGCCCTATCATAATCCCGGATGCATTAACACATATGCACGAGATTGTTTTGAACAATTCGAAAATCAGGCCTACGGGCTGATCTTCTTCTCGCAAAATTTCATAAGACCTTCGGTCCAACCTTAAAGGATGTAACCATGTGCATGTAACCACTCTCAACAGTGCTCGATACAAATCAAACATCAAGCGAGTCTATCTAATATTGAACCATACATTATTTTGCAGAACTCCGGCAGCGAGTTGTCGGAGAACGTGAGCGGCGTTCTCTGCATTGTGTTGGAGATACTGGCAGGAATAGCAGCCGTGGTCTTGGTGGAAAGAGTTGGCAGAAAGTCTCTGCTTGTGGTTACTTCTGCCTCCATGGCTGCCAGTCACTGTGAGAGCTTTAAATGTCTTCAACGTAAATAACTTCGTTCCGGGAAAACTAAATATTTATCAAACTAAGGCTGATATTGAAGCTTGGCTTGGCTGAGTTGTAAAGATTACCAGGATTGGTAATTACAACGGCGGGTTCGAAACCCGTAATTGTGCGGATTCTGGCCGAAATCGGCAAGGTGGCCAGGTGGTTAAGAATCGGCGACCAGCAATGAATCCTGATCAAAGCTGAAACCGCTATATTATATTATTTTCCTTAACAGGATATATCGTCGCAATTATATAAGATAATTCAACACAAATTGAGAAAAAAACGTTATTGAAATGTCATGGATGATTATTTTGTAGGTTTTTAGTACGTAACTTGTCAATCTTAGAACCAATTGCCAAAACTTCCATGTTAGAAGGGAAATTCTAAAAGAGTAACTCGTCAAGGCAGGTATCATGACTGTCTGATTACAGCGGTGTCGCCATTGATTAGACCATATCACCTGTCGCTAATCATAAACTCCGCAAAATTTTCGGAACTTGAGGGCATCGAACACGCAACTCACTGCCCCAAATCAGCTGTGCCTAACCACCCGGTCACCTTGCCGATTTTGACAATAACAGTTGCAGGTACAGCAGCAGGGATCTAACCCGCAACTCACTGCTCCAATCTTGGTATACAAAACTGTAACTACTGGGCCCCCTGTAATATGGGATTAGAAGATCGGTTAAAATTGAACAGATTTGAATTGAATGCATATCTTTTGCAGGTGGTCTGGGTGCTTTCTTTTACACAGGACCGATTTGAATTGAATGAATATCATTTCGCAGGTGGTCTGGGTGCATTCTTCTACATGTTATCGGTGGATGAAGAGTGGACGCGCCATTATCTGTTCTGGATTCCGATGACGGCGCTCATGATGTTCCTTATTGCTTATGGGGCGGGACTGGGGCCAGTGATATGGGTCCTGATAGGTAAGTAACTTTCATACATAATATGAAATCAAAAAGCTGAAAAAGATTTGTTGGTGAAATCACTGAACGAAGCATATTCAGGAATCTCTTAGATAAGATTCATTTTACTTGCATTAGCTACATGAATGAATTTTGGGTTTGAGGCTTGGTTAGTAATTGAAAATATTGAATAGTGTCTAGGTCTACGGGAACCTAAGTTCTTTGCCTTTATTTAAAATAATCTTCTCTTAATATCGAATATGCCTCCACTAATTAAGTTTTTGCCTGGAAATTTTATCTATTTGCAATGTCTCGTAGTATTCGTTTCTGAAAACAAAATGAAAGGTATGTGCATTGTACAATGGAAACACAGTAAAAATATATTAAAAATTTCTGTGATTTTCTTCAAGAAAATTCCTGACCGTTTATGTTGCTGCGAAGTACGTCCATTTAATAGCATAAATAATTTCCGGAGCGGTGCTTTTGCATGAATAATTCTACAAGAAACCGTTACTTGATAAAAACAAATGAATTAATCGACCAATTTCTCGAAATAATATACAGTGGATAACAGTGATGACCAAATCAGGGGAGATGTTGCCCCCTCTGGCGAAGAACGTGGGATCGGGACTGGCAGTGGCGGGCATGTGGACGGGATCCTTCGTGACCGTATACTCCTACGAATTTCTGCAGGTGAGTCAAGCATGTGGACGGAATCCTTCGTGACCGTATACTCCTACGAATTCCTGCAGGTGAGTCAAGCGTCAAGCATGTGGACGGGATCCTTCCTCACCGGATACTCCTACGAATTCCTGCAGGTGAGTCAATCATGTGGATGGGGTCCTTGCTGACAGTGAGTTATCCTTACAAAATTTGGATGCGGCCCGACTCGGGGAGCACGCCAATCAGCTCCTCTATGTTCATGTCGTCCGGGATCGAATTGATGACGCGAAACAGCATGTTATAGTTCAGTATGACTCGGTTTCGACCAACGCTTTTTATACTATCATGACACTAAAAGTCGGAAAGTAAATTTTGACCAAAAGCTGATTTCGATCGGCATAGCAGACCCTTAATAACCTTAAGCCGAGAAGAGCGACTGCAGGGCGTTTCTACTTTTGCTAAGGTAATACGAGTCCCCTCAGGAGAGACGAGCGTGTGGACGGGGTTATTATACTTCCAGTCACTAGGAATATATCGACATGTTGGGTATCCAGCCTTTTTTCGAATTCGCATAATTTGTTCAAGATTCACGTTATCGTTCACAGAATGAAGAGAGGACTTTTGCCTCATTCCGAAAAAATATGAATGTGTCTTATAGTTTTGCTGATGTTGCACATTTTTATCCAGAGCATGAATAGAGGGTGACCATATAGCACCGATAAGCCGTTTTACAAGACCAAACCGGGTTTGGATGAGCCACGCAAGAGCTAAAATGCGTCTTGATTACGACAATGACCGTTCTATATCTCATTAACCATTCTGAACGATCTAACTTTAACAACTTTAACTTTTTTTAACTTTAACCATTTGGAAATGGACTGGGCAGATGAATCATCTCCACGAGATGGGAATCAACAAGCATCACTGTTCTTCGAGTCTGTGTGAGACTCATTTTCAATCCAGAACATCGCCAAACTAATCAATTTTATGGGTAAACAGACCCCAAATATTCTAGATCTAGTATTTACTAGTGAAGAATTAGTGTTAGATGAGCTTCGCCACAAGGCTCCGTTGGGCAGAAGCCACCACCAATCATTGTTTTTCAGTATTAAGTGTTGTGCAGAAAAGACGTTTCGGAAGCGTGTACATTTGAACTTTGCGAAAGACGACTATGATAAACTCCGTGAAGCAGTGGATGCGGCGAATATTCTGGAATATATTAATAACAGGAATGTGTCTGATTCATGGTCATATATTAAAGACACGGTTATGTCTGCAGTTCATGCCTGTGTACCTAAGATTACGCTTGGACGAGTCAAAAAGTAACAGTTGATGAAGAGTACAGTTATAGCTCAGCCAGAGCTCAAGCTGCAAGCGTTATTTACGAACTCGCAACTATACTGATTATAACCTGTATGCAAGAGCTCTAAATAAAGTTAAAAAAGTCTCGCACCGCAGTAAAAAAATTTGAAAACTATATTGCCAAAACTGCAAAAAATAACCCGGAAGCTTTATTTTGGAAGTTAGTTCGAAGTGTAAAACAAACGACGGTATTTCTGAATTGAAAGTAAACCAACGGAATGTATCCTCTGATGAGGGCAAGGCTAACGTTCTCAATCCGTTCTTTAGCAGTGTGTTCAGAGATGAGGATACAACTTTTCAGATATTGAGGAGCACCTAGTCGGCTCGAAGTTAACTGGTTTTGAAATACGCGAAGAAGAGGTTCTCAAGCGCCTGGTAGCTCTAAATCCCAACAAGTCATGTGGACCAGACAGCTTCCCCCCTAGATTGCTCAAAGAATTAACAACCATCCTGGCCGGCTCGCTGACAGTATTCATTCAAAAAACCTTGAACGAAGGGACTTTGACGACTGATTGGAAAGAAGCTCAAGTAACACCATTGTTTAAAAAAGGTAACAAAAGTAGCCCCGGTAACTATCGCCCTGTCATCATGGAAATTGTTGTTTATTAGGTAATGTAATCTGTTGTGAGTGATAGGATTATTGATCATTTGACTGTTCACCATCTCATATCAGACTGTCAACATGGCCTTGTTGCCGGTAGATCCTGCACCAATAACCTTGTGTCTGCGTTGAACTATTGGACTCGCCTGCTGGACGAAAGGGAACCAGTGTATGCAGTGTAACTCGATTTTGCAAAAGCACCTGAAGCGTGAGCGGCTGTTGCGTAAAGGGAAGTCTTTGGGAATAGAGGGAAACTTACTCCAATGGATCATAGAGTTCTTTGTAGGTGGACGACAACGTGTCAGTTTTAACGAAACCGTGTCAGACTGGACATCAGTGCGCAGTGGAGTACCACAAGGAAGCGTTTTTGTACGATGCTGTGTTTCGTACGTACACAGTGCTTTTCTATGCACGTTCTAATTAGTTGTTAATTACCTGAGGCAGGTTCTGGTGCCTTGACTTAAATGAGGATAAATGAAGCACGAGTTAAGTACAGATTATATACTTATACTTAGTGAGATTATATCGGCTTACAGTTTAGGATAATCAGATTATAAGTTGGAGCTTTAACACTGATGTCTTCTGCGTACAGTTGAAGTATGGATAAGTCTAGAGTGTATCTTCTACTCTGACATAAATTTAGGCTTACTGCCCTGATGGATACGGACAGGAGTAAGGGCGTAAACACGACTGTTCTCGGCCCAAGACTAAAGTTAATTGCCTGAGACAGAGCTTTTATAGCTTCGCTATTGACGCCACCAAGGGCGTGACTTGATAAACACGAAAGGCTAATACAAGGAAATGCTCATGAACATATCGCATGTGAAGGATCTTATCTTTCAACAAGGAAGACATCAATCAGGAAATATCAAGGGACGAATGGTATCAACATTGTCATCTGACATTTTTGGGGTTGTTTGGTCGTTGCGTTTATAAACTATCTGCCAGAAGTTGTGTTAAGCGTGTGCGCCATGTATGCAGACGAGACAAAAGTTTATAATACAGTGAAGGATGCCTCAAACAAAGTGCAATTGCAAGATAATTAAAAAAGGCGAAATTAAAGCTTTAAAGCTGGCTGACCTTAAAGAGGTCCACTTTTACAAATCTAAACATCTTTACAAACCTGAACAGGCAGACATCTTGACAGCTTAGTTAACTGGGCTGATACGTGGCAGATGCGTTTTAATGCTGACAAGTACTTCACCTCGGGAAGAACAATGAACACCAAGATTACAGTATGAGAAGACATGGACGTGAGAGTAATAATTGAAAAGTCTATGGTGGAAAAATATCTAGGAGTTTATGTCGACAATGAGTTGATTTTTTCCAAGTATATTGAAATGCAAGCTTTTTAAATCCAGCAAACTTATTGGACTGATCAGACGCTCTTACGAGTTCCTAGATGCAGAAGCGATGAAGCAGTTGTTTGTTGCTGTCGTGCGCCCGAACCTAGAGTTTGGAAACGTTGTGTGGTCCCCGAAATTTGAAAAGGACAAAAATATAGTAGATAATTTTCAAAGACGTGCAACAAGAATAATTTGAGGGGCAAGGGGCTTGATCTTCCGGGCTTGATAGTCCAGGAAACCTAGTGAAAAAAGGGGGTCAACCTAGAAGAAATTGCAAAAGAATTTTCTTCATCACTATAACATGCAGAGATGCCTCAAAAAAGACATATAAAAAATCCTCTAAAATATAATTGGTGGAAAGGCTTCAAATCAGTGATTTTCAAAATGGCCGCCAAAGTAAACTATATGTTGATATGCAGCGGTTTGAATTAGCAGACTGGAACAGTTTTGCTGCCAAAAACCAATTTTTTTAGGCTAATAAATGAAATTATATCTATATTATGAGCTAAATTATATAAACTAAGAAATATTGCAATATTTTGTAATAAAAATACCATTTTATCGATAATTTTATGCTTTTTAAAGTCCGATGAATTCTCAGCTTTTTTTTCTTCTTCTACTGATAAAATTTGGCATAAATGTATTTGTGTGATGTAAAATAAGTAGGGAAAAAGTCATTATGCTCAGAAAATCATTAATTATGATGGTCAACTATTTCTAAGATGAAATAAGAGAACGTCAGCTGGGTAGACAAAAAGATAAAATATCAGACATATGAATGATGAATGGGATAGAAAAACCTTTTTATTTCAGCTTGCACAATTTTTTTATTTATTTTGGACATAAAATAAAAATGAGAAATTATTATACTGAGATAATTAAGAAGTTATACTAAAAAAACTAGTTATGACGCTTAAGCTATAGAACTAGTAGGTTTTATGAACGTAAAGTTTAACTGTCCATAGTAGGTAACATGGGGCAAACGGACCACTGCGGTTACCGGCCCATAGCGGGTTTCTCGCTAAGTATGGCAGATATTGGTCCGTGATCTCTACCG